GCCATAGAAGAACCTTTTTGTCTAAATGGTTCCATAAAGAACCTTTAACATCTGAAGAACCTTTCTGTTTCACAGAAGGTTCTTTGTGGCGAAAGAAAGTTCTTCAGATTATAAAAAGGTGAGAAAGAGATGGTTCTTTAAAGGGGTCATAGGATGCGACATGCACTTTTACAAGCTGTTTGAACTGAAATGTGTTGGCAGTATGTACACAACCACCCTATAATGATAAAAATCCTCCCAGTGCTTTTTTAAAATTTGGTTAAATCTTTACCCCTTTCTCAAATCGAGCCGATCTCAGATGCCGGTCTGTGTGACGTCACACAGACAGGCCCCTCCCACGATAGTTTGATTGACAGTAGTGTTTCAGCACAGTCCGCCATTGTTCCTCCGCCGGAGCAGATGTAGACAAGAATGACTCCTAAGCGATTGAGGTGTTCTGTTGTTGGATGTAATAATGAACAGCAGTCGTCATTTACTCCCGACATCTGAGCCGCTGAAGACGCAGTGGATTACATTGTTTCTGAAGAGAATGCGCCCCCGATCTACATAAATGCGTCTATGTTCGCGCGAATCATTCATGATCCAGCTTCACCTCCAGAAGAAGTGAGTATAATGTTTTGTAATGAATCTTTGCAAATCACCTTTCCTAATAATGTGCTAATTGGCAAGTTTCATGAATGCGGCTAAAGTAAACAGTCTCTCTGAGAGCGGCTCTGAAGAGAGGGGCGGGGTCAGCAGAGCTCATTAACATTTAAAGGAAAATGCTACAAAACGGCTTGATCTGAAAAGAGCTGTTTTTGACAGGGTAAAAAGGTGTTTTTTACACTACCATTGAGAAATTTGAACCAAACTATGTTACAGACTTTTCATTACCTAAAAATCATATCAACCTTTAAAGTAAACCCTCATTCTGACCCTCTTTCTAAAACAAGCAGTTTTTAAGGGGCGTGTCCTTTAAGGCTTGTCAGTAATCAGCCTCTGTTATGATTGGCTAACGTCACTGCATAGGAAACTGTATTAACGCCCCACACTATTGCATGCGAGTGTTTTGACAGCATGATCAAAATAAAACGGTCATTTCCAGACAAAGCATTATGAAATCATGTACTTATGGTTTGTGATGCAGCTGCAGTCAGATCTAGTACCGCTTCATCTTTTAACAAATGTTTCTTTGTGACTCTCCATGACACTGTGCCTCGTTTACAAAACAAAATACTCCGATCAATCCTCAGACACGATCCGGGACGACATTAAAAATAAACTATCCTCTTGTTCCTTACGCTGGGATCCTTCTGATATCTGTACAAAGACACGACCGAGCTGTTTAAACATTTGTCTCCATTTGTCCTGACTATGCCTGCTCTGACCCACCTCAGTCCTTAGCATCAAAGCATACATTCGTAATTGCTGTGTAAATGCATTTAAAGAGATTTTAAGAGATTTTAAGGTTGAATTTTTTATTGTGCATCCGCAAGCACTGTAAAAACATTGATATACAACAGCAAGAACTATAGATGTGTTCATACAAAAACATCTTCACATGCAAAAGAAAAAACGATGGTTTTCAAAAGTACATAATGAACGAACACAGTCACAGAAAGACACGTGTGGCCAGACAATCCCCGATTAAAAGAAGATCCTTCATTCCCCAACATCCTGAGCTTTAAAATACAAAAACATAACATTAAAAAATTAACTGCAGCATTTATAAAAACACTAACGATTTAACGATCGTTAACGATTCTGCGTGAAGAGCAATTAATGCAGATTATTAGTGCAGATTGATGACGTCACTGATGGGACGATAAAGCCGTCAGATCTGCAGATGAACGAGAGACTCAGAGACGCTGCAGGAGCTGATCTGAAGTCAGTCTGTAGTGTTGAGCCGCTTCTGGAGAGAATCAAAGAGTTCATGCTGTTCCTGAATGAATCCATGTGCGTCAATAATCAAGCGATTCTCCAGAACAGCACTGAATCAAGCTTCAGTTCACTCCATCCATCTGCAGGACTGTAGTTTTGTTCATTTGTGAAAGATACGTGATCAGGTAATAAACGCAACAGACAGACAGAGACAGTAAACAATCACTGATATAAATACAGCTGTATAAAGTCCATCACATGACCAATCTGTTCTGTTTTTATATTGTAGTATTTAAGACCAAAGTTCTAGAGTGTTTTGTGTGTGTGTGTGTGTGAGTGAGTGAGTGAGTGAGTGAGTGAGTGAGTGAGTGAGTGAGTGAGTGTGTGTGTGTGTG